CTAAACCACCACATGTCTGGCAGGGTCTAATGAAATTCCTAACATGGGGAAGATGATATGTCACTTTTTTATCAGGTCCTCTCTGGATACTTGCTCATTGTGTTAAACTTTACTAAGAGTTGGCACTGCAGACTAAAGAAGCCACTACCCACCTTTCAACTGAGTGCCAATCCAGTATTGCCTCAGGCATGCCTCCTCTGAAGAGACCTCATATCTCCTCACCAGTCACTGATTTCACTTGAGGTGCTATTAACTGCTTTACTTCAAGGGTTGAAAAGCTCTTGTTAATACCTGCATTCCCATTACACCTGAAAATACGTTGCTTTCCCTTTTAACCACTCTAACTGCAAACTCTGCTAGTAAGGTAAAACTATGTAAGCCTTTCTTCTTTTTTTCTCCTTTTCCTTCACACCATTCAACCTTCCAGTTACAACCTTACTTATTGGGTTCATTTATTGAACCTTCCCTTATTTTCCACTGTTACTTGGGAAGATCATGAAATTCCTATTTCCACTAATGATTCTGCCACCATGGCAGGTTAAAGGCTCCCACACTCTCCTGACATCCCTATACACATTCTACATGACCCTTGGAAAACTAATGGGACTCACCTGCTTTTTCTGTATTACTAGTCTCATAGGTGCAAAAATATGTGCTTATAAAGGCCCACAATATGAACAACATAATATGGCATCCAAAATCTGAATGTCTAGTTGTTACTGTTAAACAACAAAATTTGTTTTTACTGCTTGCTTTCTCAGTGACGTGACTCTGGGCATGTCCTACCATAAACCTATTCTTTTATGTGGTTATTCTTGGGTGGACCTAGGTATGTTTGATAGTTTCAACTGGCATGTCTGCCATTCCAATAATTTCTCTACACAGCTCCTTTCCCCTACAACTATACTACAGAAAATTGGGGACCTGAAAGATTATTGATACAGGAAAGTAATAAGACTTAGCAAGGACAGATTCTATGCTTAGTGATTCAATGTTACATTTACAAAACATACTTACTGAATGAATAAAGACTCTCCAACAACATTACTCTGATGCCATTCTCCAAACACTCTCTGAGACCGCTACCTGGCTGAATCCTAAAAACTGGTTCTATAAAGTTCACTTGAAACCATTGTTTTTCCCATGCATATTGCAAATAATTATTCTTTGTGTTTATTTTTAGTCTGAACATTAATCACCTTGTTTTCACACCTTACTCACACTATAGTTATGCGGACACTATTTCTCCAACAAGAATAGAATCAACATGCTCCTTAATAAAACAAGAAGAGGGGATTGTGGTAATATTAATCTTATCACTTTCTCAAGGTCCTGATTTCTGGAGACTGTTCTGACCCTTTCTTTACATGCTGTTTCTCATGAGTTTAAGGTAGATACCCTGGCTGACACTTCAGCCTCAGGAGATGTTGAAAAAACATTGCTTATCTTCAAAGTTTTACTATTGCTTTGTTGAGCCCTGTTACTGAATTCCAGATAGGTTCTCAATAAATAAGCACTCAGCATTTTCTTGGGGAGTTACTCCTTCATGAACTCTTCCTGCACTGTCTCTCATAATCCTGTGTGGTTGTGAGAATTATTTAGTGTGACACCAGTGACACTGGCACATTCTCCAGCACCACAGTTCAAAAGCATCTATTCTTCAGCACTCAGCTTTCTTCATGGCCCAAGTCTCACACCTGTACATGACTACCGGAAAAAACATAGTTTAGATGGACCTCTGTCAGCAAAGTGATGTCTCTGCTTTTCAATACAAGATTATTGTTATTCAGTTGCTCAGTTGTGTCCAACTCTTTGCAATCCCATGGACTGCCACATGCCAGACTTCCCTGTCTTCATCTCCTGGAGTTGCTCAAACTCATGTCCATTGAGTCACGGATACCGTCCAACCATCTCATCCTCTTTTATTTCCTTCTCTTCCTGCCCTCAATCTTTTCCAGCATTAGGGTCTTTTCTAATGAGTCAGTTCTTCCCATCAGATGGCAAAAGTACTGGAACTTTGGCTTCAGCATCAGTCCTTCCAATGCATTTTTGGGCTGATTTCCTGTAGGATTTATTGGTTAAACTTCCTTGCAGAGCAAAGGAGTCTCAAGAGTCTCCTTCAACAACACAGTTCAAAAGTATCAGTTCTTCAGCATTCAGCTTTCTGAAATGAGAAGGTAAGTGCCAATTTGTCATTGGCTTCTGGAATCTTCCCCTTCACCCCTACCCTCTGCTCTGAGACCTCTCATCACCCCTGGAAGCTGGATGCAGCGAGCAGAGCTTACATTCCTATCATCAGCAGAATCCTGCCCCTGTTTAGGTGTGACTGTGCCCATCCCAGACCTCTCTGGCCTATGCCCAGCTGAATTTTGGCCCACAGTACTTCTCTACCCCCTGGGGCAGGCTCCCACCTTACTGCACAGATTGAAGGAGGTTCTGTTTCTATCCCAGAGTTTTTTGATGCTCCTCTGGCAGAGGCAGAGGGTTTTGCCAACCCAAGGTATAAAGCTGTCTCCTGCAGGGATTGAGAAAGGCTCCCCTTGAACCTCCCCCCTACCCCCCAAAAAAATCCATATGAGTGGCAGCTCATTCACAGTCAGAGTGAAAAGCTTGTTTGTTCTCTGAGAAGATGTCTGTGTGTGATAAATGCAAACAGAGATTTGTATTAATATTTGCCTCTCTCCAGAACTGACATGGGTTTCTCTGATGGTTCGGATGTTAAAGAATCTGCCTGCAACACTGGAGACCGAGGTTTGGTCCCTGTTTCAGGAATATTACCTGGAGGAGGGCATAGCAACCCACTTCAGTATTTTTGCCTGTAGAATTCCATATACAGAGGAACCTGGTGGTGTAACAGTCCCTGGGTTGCAAAGAGGGACTAACACATTCACTGAACTGACACCCTGACCAAACAAGCATCAGCTTCCCAATGCACAGAAATATCTGCATAGAATTACAATGTTGTGGTCCTCTTGTGACCCAGTAAACTCACATATTTATCTTTAGTCATGAAACATGGAAAAACATCTGCCATATCACTAAGCAAAGATGTTTAGGCCACCAAAACTTGGCCACTGTAGCTGCCCCAATGCTGCACTGAGGTGGGTCAGGATGAAGAAAACCATAATTCTGGCACACAAGATCGGGTGTTGTCATGTGCAACAATTTCTAAACAGCATTTCCAGTACATGTGTGAGGTTCCAGCCACAAGCAGCACTCTGAGAGCCTAAGATGGACTTTGGTTAAAGATGAGGGCTGTGGGTCCACAAGAGTATCAGTTTGATTATAAACATTTTCCCTTTTTCAGGACACACAGTCTCATCCTATCATTAATTCCTATAGAAGGGAATGAAATATTAGTTAATCAGTTGCATCTGACTCTTTGGGACCCAATGGACTGTAGCATGCCAGAGTCCTCTGTCCATGGAATTCTCCAGGTGAGAATACAGGAGTGGGTTGTCATTTCCTTCTTCAGGGGATCTTCCCTACCCAGGAATCAAACTGGTTCCTGGTATCTCCTGTGTTGCAGGCAGATTATTATTATTATTATTATTATTTTTACCACTGAGCTATCACTGAAGCCCAAGATCTCTGAGGAACACATCAAAGGAATGATTGAAGGCATGATTCAATGAACCCAGGCACTTGCATCTTCACATATATAGAAGAACACTAAATTCATTAACTTGTAATGCCTGGTTTTCCCTAAATTGCTGTCATCTTCTGATGTTCCAATCTTCTCTGTTGCAAGAAGTCCTATATATCCTGGCACCTTCCTTACTTCTTCTGAGAGAAAAGTCTCAGAAAAATCGGAGAGGATAATTCCCGGGTTTAAGTCCTCAGCAAGTTCTTGGATTAAAACACAATTCTCAGCTTTGAGATGGTGCTTTTTTTTTCCCCCCAGTAGACAAAACACAAAGTTTGCAATTTTATAAATACAAAATAAAAACATATTTTAACAAGAGATATTTAGCAGGTAGCTCAGAAATAAAGAATCTACCTGCAATCTAGGAGATGTGGGTTTGACACCCGGAGTCAGAGTCAGACAGGACTCATCTACCAAACAACAAAACTATATACTACTGAGAGGGCTTCCCTGGTGGCTCAGGCAGTAAAGAATCCACCTGCAATGCGAGAGACTTGGGCTGAATTCCTGGGTTGGGAAGATCCCATGGAGGAGGGCATGGCAAACCACTCCAGTATTCTTGCCTAGAGAATTCTCATGGACAGAAGAATCTTGTGGGCTACAGTGGCAGAGAGTTGGACACGACTGAGCCACTAAACTACAACAAAATTGTATTCATATTACTGAGAAGTAGACTTTAACTCCTAAGAACTTGAAATTACCTCCTGAAAGAGATCAAACACAGATGAAAAATTTAAAGTTAAGAGGAGGGAAAAAAAAGATCTTAGAACCTACCACTCCCCCGCCCCCTCCCCACCTGAAAGAGAAATTTTATACAAAAACGCGGTGCACATAAGCCGCCTAGATGATTTATCCATAACGTTAAACGGATAAGGAGAAATAAAGCAGTCCGGGGACCGAAGTTCATGTAAGTAATTCCGCCTCCACATAAAATAGATTTATCGGTTATTTTTTCTACTACCAAAGTTGTTCAAGCTCACCCTAAAACGCAAGCTTTAAAGCAGTTGCACGCCTCCAATGTTTTTGGTTAGTTGATCGATATCCTCAGCTTGGGTTCAAACTTCCGCTTCTGAGCTCCTTCCCGGCCACTCGTGCGCCCCGGGCAACCCCGGTAAGAGCGCCGACTGGCGGCGCAGTGATGACGCTACGCGTCTCGGTGACGCACGATAGAGGCGACAGTTATTGGGTGCTTCTCCAGCAGCCAGTTTGGAAGCTACCGTGAATTGAGCTGGCCTCGCCGGGTCCGGTCATCTACTTCAGCCGGCCGCAGGCCCCAGAGTGGGGCGGGGCGCCACTTCATCCCTGACGGTAGGACTGTAAGGTCAGCGACCCCCGCCGGCTTCTGTCTCCTCACCCGACCCCAGGCCCGGTACCCCCGTTAGGTAAGTCGCCACCTCTCTTCTGGACCCAGGAGCACAGTCTCGCAACACCACCTGACTGGTCCATTTCTTTCCCGTACCCAGGCCGCACGACCCTCGCCAGGCCGGGCGGTTTCCTTCCCAAACCCCAAGCCCTGTACCCTCAGTGGGCCGCTGCCGCCTCCTCAGACCCAGGGACTCCATCGCTGAGACCCCGCCTCTTCCCTGGGGCCCGCGACCCACACCGGGCTCTGCCTCTCCCCGAACCCCTTGTCCGCGACCCGGCTAGGGCGGGCAGACTCCCATGGCCGGGACCCTCTCCTCTTCCCCTGGGCCGTGACTCCGGAGAAGTCTGCCTCCCCAGACTTCAGGACCCCAGCGGTTGGTACGCCACAGGCCAGCTTCCCGGTTCTTCTCCGGGGGCCCTTGATCCCCTTTGTCTGGTTCCCTCAGGGGCTGGTCGCTGATTTAGTGTGGGATCCATTCAGGCCGGACTTGGGTCCTGGCTGCAGGAGCTTGTATGGGAGGAAGGAGGGATGAGGGTTGTAGGGCCAGCGTGGAGAAAAAGAGAGCAAGCCTTGTCATTCAGGCGGAGAAAGATTTATTATATAGTAAGAGAGAAAGGGACTGTGTTTAAAGCGAAACCAGTGCTCGCCCTTTACAGCTAACCCTTATACCCTGTACAGCTAAAATCTTATACCCTATAGATGGGAAATTGCTCCGGAAAGGGTGGAGGCCTTAGTTTCGCCTGCAGCTGGGGCGGGGGGCGGGGGGGTCTTGTGCTCCTGTAGTCGGAGTGGTCTCACAGTCTCGTGATCTCATAACCTTGAGAAGCTGGCACCAGCAGGGAAAAACAGGGTATCCCCTAAAGGAAAATTAGGATCCCCACCTCGGCCTTGTGGCCACTGTGACATCATCCCTTGTTTGTCAGGTCGTCACAATGGGCCGTTTTCTATCTATATGGTATAAACCCTTGTGAATCCTAACATTCTAGCTTTTTTGATATAGGATAAGGGCCGAGGGTCAGTCTTCTGTATCTGCTTTGTACTGGTTTGGGACGTCATTGTGGAATAAGATAAGAAAAGGCTGGAATGTGGGTTAGGGGAAGTTTGAGTGGCTTCAAAGCTTTTGATAATTAGTGTGAATAAGAACCTCATGAATAGTCTGGTTGGTGAAGGCCCATAAGCCATCCTGGAGAAATATTGAAAAAGGATGAATTAGACAGAGACTGAAAGTCAGAATAAGGGTTAATGTGAAAAGGGGGCCCAGTAAAAGTTGGGCTCATGGCATCCAATTCAAATTGCTTAACCAGTTTTCCCATAAATTACTGAGATGTTGATGCCCTTGAGGCCCTATTTGTCAGATTCCTTGCTGCCTTTTTTACAATGCCTGATTTATTGGCGTAGAAACAGCAGGCTTCCTATAAAAAAGACATAGGCCTTCTTTTTCCACTGTGAGAAGTTCTAACCCTCTTCTTGTTTTGAAGGATCACAGCTGCCAGGGACTCTAGTTGGCCCTGGAGATTGATAAGGCCAGAGGCTACTTCTAGGCCCTCAGTAAGATCCTAGTGAGGTTGATAGTAGTTTAAAGAGGTTGTGACTTCTGCTCTCCCTGTTCCAATCCCCACAGCTATTCCTAATTGAATAATTGAATTGCTCTTTTGGTTGTGGATTAGTGCAATATGGAGGGTTTTGTTGTTAGGGGCAATAGAGATATTTCAGGTAAGATCAGGATTATTTAAAAGACCTGAGGAGATATGGGGTAAATGAGTTATCAAGTCTTCTAATGTGAATTGGAGGCTCAGAAGAATTAGGGATGAGGGTGGTGAGGGTGAGAGTAGAGCGGGGTTCAGAAGAGAACTCAGGAGATTCTAGGAGGGTGACATGAATTAATTGGACTCGAGAAGGTGATAGAAGGGCTGTGACCTTGTGTGAGAGTAAGTCCTTAAGGTCATGTGGTGAACAAATGACTATGGGCTTCCCTTGCTTTCTTGAGTGAGAAGTATAGCTGTGGCCAGAGCACATAGACTGGCTGGCCCATCCCTGTATGGTGATATACAATTGTTTTGGCAGACAAGCAGTGGGGGCAAAGAAAGTGCCCTGCATCTGTCCTAAGACTCCTAGGGCAATTTTATGTCTTTCAGTAGTATAGAGTATAAAAGGGTAAGAGAGATCAGGCAATGTTAAAGCTGGGACCGAGAGAATAGCTTGTTTTAGAGCATTAAAAGTTGAACAGACATTGGACTTAGGCTCAAGAGGCTCCAAAAGATCTGTGCTGTGTAGCTTGATATAGGGGTTATGGTAGGAGGGCAAAATTGGGGTTCCAGAGGCATAGATACACAACTAAGCCAGGAAGGACAGAATTTCCATTTTTGATGTAGTGAGTGGTAAGGCAGATATCAGGGACTTTCTATCTGTAGTTATATGTCTTTTTGTTGGTGCCTAGGAGAATGCCAAGATAGGTGACCTCAGGAAGGGAAAATTGGGCCTTAATTGGAGACACTTGATAGCCCTGATTGGCTAGGAAGTTAAATTGTATTGTATGTCACTTATAGGATATGAGTGAGGGGCTAAAAGGAGAAGAGAATTTATGTATCTGGAGGATAGAGCCTGGGGCAAAATTGAGGGAGGTTAAGTCTGAGGCCAGAGACAGAGATCAAGACCAACCCCAAGGAAAAGAAATGCAAAAAGGCAAAATGGTTGTCTGAGGAGGCCTTTCAAATAGCTGTGAAAAGAAGAGAAGTGAAAAGCAAAGCAGAAAAGGAAAGATATTCCCATTTGGATGCAGAGTTCCAAAGAATAGCCAGGAGAGATAAGAAAGCCTTCCTCAGCCATCAATGCAAAGAAATAGAGAAAAACAATAGAATGGGAAAGACTAGAGATCTCTTCAAGAAAGCTAGAGATATCAAGGGAACATTTCAGGCAAAGATGGGTTTGATAAAGGACCAAAATGATATGGACCAAACAGAAGCGGAAGATATTAAGAATAGGTGGCAAGAATACACAGAGGAACTGTACAAAAAAGATCTTCACCACCAAGATAATCACAATAGTGTGATCACTGACCTAGAGCCAGACATCCTGGAATGTGAAGTCAAGTGGGCCTTAGAAAGCATCACTACAAACAAAGCTAGTGGATGTGATGGAATTCCAGTTAAGCTGTTTCAAATCCTGAAAGATGATGCTGTGAAAGTGCTGCACTCAATATGCTAGCAAATTTGGAAAACTCAGCAGTGGCCACAGGACTGGAAAAAGTCACTTTTCATTCTAATCCCTAAGAAAGGCAATGCCAAAGAATGCTCAAATTACCACACAATTGCACTCATCTCACACACTAGTAAAATAATGCTCAAAATTCTGCAAGCCAAGCTTCAGCAATACATGAACCGAGAACTTCCATATGTTCAAGCTGGTTTTAGAAAATGCCGAGGAACCAGAGATCAAATTGCCAATATCCGCTGGATAATTGAAAAAGCAAGCGAGTTCCAGAAAAACATCTATTTCTGCTTTATTGACTAAGACAAAGCCTTTGACTGTGTGGATGACAATAAACTGTGGAAAATTCTGAAATATATGGGAATACCAGACCACCTGACCTGCCTTTTGAGAAAGCAACAGTTAGAACTGGACATGGAACAACAGAATGGTTCCAAATAGGAAAAGGAGTACGTCAAGCCTGTATATTGTCACCCTGCTTATTTAACTTATATGCAGAGTACATCATGAGAAATGCTGGGCTGGAGGAAGCACAAGCTGGAATTAAGATTGCAAGGAGAAATATCAATAACCTCAGATATGCAGATGACGCCACCCTTATGGCAGAGAGTGAAGAGGAACTAAAAAGCCTCTTGATGAAAGTGAAAGAGGAGAATGAGAAAGTTGGCTTAAAGCTTAACATTCAGAAAACTAAGATCATGGCATCTGGTCCCATCACTTCATGGGAAATAGATGGGGAGACAGTGGAAACAGTATCAGACTTCATTTTTTGGAGGCTTCAAAATCACTGCGGATGGTGACTGCAGCCATGGAATTGAAAGATGCTTACTACTTGGAAGTAAAGTTATGACCAAACTAGATAGCATATTACAAAGCAGAGACATTACTTTGCCAACAAAGGTACATCTGGTCAAGGCTATGGTTTTTCAAGTGGTCATGTATGGTTGTGAGAGTTGGATTGTGAAGAAAGCTGAGCACTGAAGAATCAATGCTTTTGAACTGTGGCATTGGAGAAGACTCTTAAGAGCCCCTTGTACTGCAACCAGTCCATCTTAAAGGAAATAAGGCTTGGGTGTTCACTGGAAGGACTGATGCTGAAGCTGAAACTCCAGTACTTTGGCCACCTGATGCGAAGAGTTAACTCATTGGAAAAGGCCCTGATGCTGGGAGGGAATGGGGGCAGAAGGAGAAGGGGACGACAGAGGATGAGATGGCTGGATGGCATCACTGACTCGATGGGCATGAGTTTCAGTAAGCTCTGGGAGTTGGTGATGGACAGGGAGGCCTGGCGTGCTGTGATTCATGGGGTCGCAAAGAGTCGGACACGACTGAGCGACTGAACTGAACTGAAGTCTGAGGCCAGGGCTTAACCAGAGAAATGAGGGCTATCACAAAGGACCTTGGTGAGGGACAGTGAATTGTTGGGTGTGATGACTCTCTGGATCTGTCCAGGTAAACACAAAAAGATCTTGAGAGTCTCAGTATAAAGGGATGGTGAAAAATGAATCTTTGAAGTCCAGGACGGTGAAATAGGTAGTTGAAGGAGAAATAAGGGCAAGAAGAGTATATGGATTTGGGACTACTGGGTGAATGGGGACAACAGAAGCATTAATAAGTCTTAAGTCTTGAACCAGGCAGTAGGAACCATTTGGATCTTTTTTAAAAGTAGGGTAGATGTGTTATAAGGACAGTAAGTAGGGTACAAGAATCCCTGACACAGCAGCTTGGAAGTTATGGGTTTTAACCTCTGTTGATGTATTTGGGAAATAGGGTATTGAGATTGATGGGGAAACTTGGTTGGGTCTTTTAGACAAATGTAAACAGGAGTATGGTGGAAGGTGAGAAAATAAGAGATTCGAGAAGCAGTAGCCAGGCCAAGTCAGGAGAAGGATTTGGAATAGTAAGGAAAGCCTTAAATTGAAGAGTAGATACCTTACAAAGATTGGAGTGAGGCATTTTAGGAGTATGAAGAAAGAATGAATGAATGGG